CACTTGCCTACTCCCAAAATAGTCGGCCTCCCACGAACTCAGGAACCGAGGAAGGGGAGGAAGCGGAAGAATGGCGCCAACGCTGAACCGCTTCGACCCTGCCCGAACGGAGCGACATCCTTTCAACCCAGCCCGCAAGGATTAACCCCGACCCAACACCCAAAATGGAGAGTCGGTGACCCGGCCCCGGCAAAAACCGAAAAGAACAAAAGAGAATACCTCCAAGCCGGGCAAGAAACGCCCCGACCAAAGCAGACTCAAGCAACTCAAGCCTCATCCACGCACCTCCGCACCCCGCCGAGCTCCGATACCACTAAATTTCGGCAGCCATCGAGCGGAAAGAGAGCCGTTGAAACCCTAGCCCTTACCTAGTGGCGTCAGGCGGAGGGCGAGAGTGCCGCGGCTGTGGATTAGTGGTGGTGGCCGTCCACCGACGAACCTGATGAAGGCTGAGGGAGCACAACCTGAGCGAATTGATAAACGCCGAGGACGAGCAAAATTGGAGATCTGGTCGCGAGGAAGAGGATAGTTTTTTTTTTTCTTTTTTATTTATAACTTCACTTGTATATATATGATATTTTTTTTTATATATTCTTAACTTTTTCAAAAATATAAGTTTTATTCACAAATAATATTTTCTTTAAGTTTATTAAAGAAGATAAAATTATTTTTTAAATAGTTTATATTTTAATTTTATCACATATTAAGTTAAGATTTATTTTTTAACTTTTAAAATAAATTTAATTAAGCTATTGCATAGAAATAAGTTATGAAATAATTTTCTTATTAGGTAATTTTACTAAAGATATGAAAAAAGGGAAAAAAAAAATAAAAAAAATACTAAAAATATTCAATATTTTTCATTATAAGTTCTTAAATAATAATCTTTTTCTTAAAATAAAAAAAGTATTGTGTTTTACATAATTATATCAAAATACAAAGTGGTTTGGGGTCTTAATTGAAAAGTATAATGTAAAAGTATGCCTTACATTGAAAACAATTTAAAATTGAAACTCTTAAATGAAAAGGTTGAAAATTCAGGCCTTATTGTGACACAATAACAAAAAGTCAAGTCTTACAATGAAATTTTCTCATATTTTACAGTACAAAGCACTGTTTTGAAACCCGACAATGACCCCGGTTGGCTTTCATATCACCGATTCAACTGTTGAATTAATTGCATAACTGAATAATTATTATTTAATTTGTTCATACCACAATGTAATAAACATATTTTAGTTACACAACTCATTCACACATCCTAAAAATAATGGTCACAACAAAATCATAAATTCAACACAATTATATTTTCTTTAATATTATAGAGTTTGCACTCACCATTAAATATGCGCTAAATCAATAAAAGATTTTTGCTATGATTTACATTGATCGACTTTGGTTGCAATAAAGATACGTGGTGGCATTGTTCTTCTTCTCAATGAATGTTGCTCCCAAAAAATCCTATTAAGATCATGGACAAAGAGTAAATAACAATTAAAGTTAAAAATGATTATTTATTCTTCAAATAAACAGGTCATTTACGAAAACTTAAGAACGATTCAAAAGGTAGTATTTTACACTACAAATCACTGTTTTGAAAACCGCATAGACAATAACCATGGTTGGCTTTTATATCACCGATTCAACGATTGGATTAATTGGATAACTGAATAAATATTATTTTTTTATGTTCATATCACCGGTGAGATCTTATTAACTTGAGTTGTTTGCGTGTTCTTACATGTTGTGGGATACTTTATTTCTATCAGAAAGAGCTACCACACACAATGATTTATTGAGAAAGCTAGCACATGGCTCTTTTCTTATGGGATCGACTGTGAAAAGAGCTTCATAATAGAAAATGATGTGAAGGGTGAAGGCTACTGACAAGCATATCATGAAACTATGTGGTGTTCCAACATGGTGTATTAGGTGGTCATCTTCATAACATACACAATGCAATACATTTAAAAAAATGTTTTTGCATATGTTCGTTTTTATTGCTTAAAACCATTGCTGCAAAGTAATGGGTCAACTTTCACCAATGCGGTGATTGTCACAAAGTGGAAAGTACTTTGATGAATAATAAAGTTTTTATTTATTTGTCCATAATTTGGAGAGATATGCGTTGCACTGTATTATTGTTCCCCCTTATCAGTTTTTTCTCCGATGTGTTTGCATCACAAGGTCGATTTACTAGTGAATTAATTAAGTTCTTAATATTTATTATTAATAATATATTGAATATACTTATCATAGTACGTATTATGGAGTTCTAAACCTCTAAGAGAATGGTTTCATAATATATATCTTACATATATTTGCTTACTATATATGTCACATATTTGCTTACTATATATGTCACATGCATTAATGAGTTTGGTTCATACCATAATTCATTTTCTCTAGGACTAGGAAGTGACAAGGAATAAAAAGGGATAAGTCTAGACATTTTGAAGAAGATCTAAAGAGGATTTGTAAAGATTTACCGCAAGATCATCTTAAATTTGGAAGATTGACTATTTTAGAAAGTTGTGTTCCAATACCATTTTTGAATGAAGTTTTGATGATTTCCAAATCACATATACGGATTATACTTGAAGGAAACTTACTATTAACGAAGGGAGATCACGTCCAAGTTATGAAGGAAGTCATTGGGCAGGAAATCAACCTCGAAAAGGAGTAAATGTACGGGAATGAGAACACCCTTTACTATTGAGGAGTTTATATATATGTGATCGAAGACTCGTTGAATGGTTGCTGCACATATTAAATTATTATTTCAGACGTTATTAAGTGTTTGTGAGCATTTTATTTTTTTTATTCGGTTAAGTTTTTCAGTGTTCTTAGAAGAATTGAGTTTTTTTTTTTTTTTTTCTTACAAATATTTTGAATGCTTAGGGATTAAGTACTTTGCAGCTGGGAGTTATCCATAGCTATTTTTGAAGTCCACTTGTTGTGGCGTTGATAGAGTTGGGTATAGTATTGGTTAGATTAGAAAGGAGTCCTACACGTTTAAGTCTAAGTTATATGTTGTACTCAAACCAATCTATTGATGAAAGAGACTTGAGGTGTAGTGAGACGCTCTCCAAAAATATATTTGTTTTTATATTACTTCCGCTTTTAATTTAGGTGTTCGAACACACCTTACACACTCTACTACCCGACCCATATATTTCACATAGCACATCATTAAATTTTGTACTTACATGAGCTCTAACAATATCACGTGCATGTAACAAAATAATGGTAATGGATATACCGAGGTACACACGTTATATTAGAAAATGTAACACCAAATGAGCATAGTTTTCCCCCTACATTTGATTCATCACATGAAACACACACATGTATATGGACATACATACATATGCATGAATACCATTATTGATGAAAGGACGCATTAACATGGCAAAGAAAGATAGACAAGTTTGCATTATTGTTTCGGTTTCTCGTTTTGTGTCGCCAAACGTTGATGAATGAAAGGCATCCTTTTTCTTTTCGTCCATGGCTGCACGTGTTCGTGGTTTCCTTCTTTATCGTTTTCTTCTCGATTCTTTTGTCTTCTGTTTCTTTCTCTTGTACCTTCTGCCCAAGCTATAAACATTTCATCACTTCATATAAAATGTGGATGGAACTTTGTAATTTTAAGCCTTCTTCTATGGGTCATTTTATACCTTACGTGCAAAATTAGTCGGTAACAAGTAAGAGTGAAAAAAGCGAGTAAATTTTATTATTACCTTAGCCTCTGATTTCTGTATTTTGGAGTTAACAGTTGACTCTCTACTTTCTTCTTGTTCACTTGGCTTCACCGATTTTTCTTCAGAAGAAGGAAGTGGAGAAGGAATTGAAC